GAGAGAGAGAGAGAGAGAGAGAGAGAGAGAGAGAGAGAGAGAGAGAGAGAGAGAGAGAGAAATTGACAAGCCAAAAAGAAAAAAAAAATCTGGATTTTGCTACACAAATTCACTCTCATTTTTTTCTGGCTGTTTTCAATGCATTCCTGGAAATAAAAATGCATGTGTTAAAATGGCAGTGGAATGAAAATTAAAAAGAGCTGCTGCTTTTGCACTGTCCAAGTCATTATGTTTTATGACATGGGTTAACAGCGAGCCATAAAGTAAGTAAATCATTACTGCAAGCAGTCCTGGTCTTTGCTCAGAGACTGCCTGGATGGAGGGTTGCTTAGCTTTCCATGCATCGATTTCCCCCTTCCTCTGCAAAAATGGAATGTTCTGCCTTTTGCTCAGGGTGAGCATCACAGCGTGGCGTGGCTGGGTACCTGCCACAGATCCTGTGCTCCCGAAGGGGCCTGCGTACAAGGCCGGCAGGGTGTGCTCCTCTTCTTCACCTTGCTTGCTGCATCTCAAGTAGCTGAGATGGGGAGAAGGAGCCATTGGCGAGGCCTCTGCCCAGTTGCTCCCTGCCCCTCTGCCCGTCCAGCAAGCCAGGAGAGCAATGACGTGGGAGAGAAGGAGAACATCAGCACAGCCGTGCTGGACCAATGCTCCATGCAGTCCAGCAGTCTGTTGCTCAGTGGCAGACCACCTGCCCACAGGGCTTCTTAAGCAGCAGGACCTCCTCCGCCCAAGCTCCTCAGCAGCCGGGGTGTGCAGGCAGGCCACCTCTGGTAAAGGAGGCAATGGATTGCCAGCGAGGCTAGTAGCCACGGAGAGGCTCCTCTCTCCTGAATCTGTCCAATCCCCTTTTCAAGCCATCCATAGAAACAGAAACAAACACAGAGTCAGAAGGGGCCTCCTGGGCCATCTAGCATGATCCCAGCTCTACTCATGACATGCCCACCCTGTGCACGTCCACCCTGGTGGCCGCCACCACTTCCCATGCAGTGAGTTCCATAGTTGAAGGGTATGCTGTGTGTAGAAGGATCTCCTTTGCGATCCTACACCTCCCACCCATCTGCTTCATGGGATGACCCCAGGTCCGAGCATGAGGGGAAAAAGGGGGAAATGTCTCCTCTACTTTCCCCACATCGTTAATTATTTTAAACCCCTCCATCGTGTCTCCCTTTCCTCACATTGTTTTCCAAGCTGAGCAGTCCAGTCCCAGTTGCCACAGCTGCTCCTCCAAGATTTGCTTCTACAGCCCCCTGCACATTTCCATTGTTCATGGAAAGTTCATGGAAAGATCATTTCCATTGCTCTTCTCTGCAATTTTTTCCAACTCAATAATCTCCTTTTCTAGGTAAGGTGACCAGAACCGCATGCAGTGTTCTAGATGTGGTCACACCAAAGATTTGCATGAGGGGAGTGAGTACTTCCTTGAGGAAGAGACTCTAGTGACACAGGCAGGGCAAAGATACACCAGATGCAGGATGGGGACCACTCAGCGTGCCTTCTCCAGGGGCCTTCAAAACCTGGGGTCGGTACAGATTTTGCTGTCCAGCATTTGGGTGTGACCCAACAAAGAGTGAAGTGGGGTCCATGATAGATGCACTCATTTCATTTGCAAAATGTTGGAGTTGCTACTTCAGACCAAAAATGAAAACAAAACAGGAAAAAGTGCAGTATTTAGTTTAGCTAAACAGCTGAACAGGACTTTTTAGAACTATGAAGACGAATCTAAGAGTTGCACTCATTCCTACAATCCAGTTTTGAAAATCCTATGTTCTTTCTCCTCTGAATATGAGGAAGCGTGTGATTTTTCTTAAATTATTGCATGCAATGTAAACTGAATACTTTTCCTGTTTTTGAACTTTGTGATGCACATCTGTAATACAGTGACAAGAAATGTAAATGTTCTATATCAGAATCAGACCTTTACAACAGATGTCCATTCTCTTATAGATCCTACAAACATATGCATATATTTAGTTTTAAGAGGATTATAAACTAAACATTTTCTAAGCGCGGGAATACATATTTTCAGTGGATACAGCACTGCAACTGCATAACTTTTTCTTCGGAGGAAACCCTTTCTGCTCACCCAGCCAATCTGCCAAAGGAAGTCTTTTCTGGGTAAAATGTTACTCTCCTTTTAATGCCTGGCAAGTCCATCAGATATTTTGGGAGAGACAGACATGAAGGAATAAAGGGGGCAATTCTCTTAGATCGACAGACTTTAACCCCATCTCCCCTGCACTTACTTGCTAGGGTGGCCAAATGGAATTTCCTCTGCATACCAGGCACTGGGGGCAGACAACTAGGGAAAAATAGAAATATAGAAACGGAATGAGTCAGAAGGGGCCTCCTTGAACCCTAACCCTCACCAACGGGCCCTCAACCACCTCCCATGGAAGCCCATTCCATCCCCTTGGGGTCCTAACCGTCAGGAAGTTCTTCCTGGCATCCACCCTAAATCTTGGTTCCCTGAGCTTTGCTCCATTGGAAGGCATCCTGCTCTCCACTGCAGGGGAAAAAAGGTCATGACCCCCCTCTGTGGGACACCCCCTCACGTACCTGTATGTTACTAACAGGTCCCCTTGGAGTCTTCTCCTCTCAAGACTGAACAGACACAGCTCCCTCAGTCTCTTCTCATCTGGTTTACCCTGCAACCTTGTGGCCCTTCACTGCACCGATTCCAACCTTGCTATATCCCTCTTGTTATGAGGGCTCCAGAACTGAGCACAATACTCCAGCTGCGGGCACACCAAAGTCATATAGAGTGACACCTCTCTCGATCTAGAAGCCACGCTTCTGGCTATGCATCCAAGGGTGGCATTGGCCCTTTTGGCCACCACATCACACTGCTGGCTCATGTTTAGCCTGCAGCCAACCAGCACCCCAAGTTCCTTTTCACAAGGTCATCCTATTTGTGTCAACCCAAGAATTATGGGAGAGAAGGTTATGGTGCTCTTTATGAAATCTCAAGCTGCTGCTCCTGGTTTCAGTGATCGCCAAATCATGGCTCTTCCACATGTTCCTAGAGCACAGCTGAGGAGTTCGTCAGTAAAGCAGGGGCTCCCACTGCATTTGTCGGCATCCCAGGTTTTTGCTCATCGCTGTTGGCTGCTTTTGGGGAAGAGAAGGGACTAAAGTGACTCTTTCATCTTTATCAGGATGGGTCTTATGCCCAGAGAGTTTAGAGGACTGTTCAGTGGCATTGATGGAACGCACGAAACACCTCCTAATCAGCCAGAACATCTATTTGGTACAGCTACACTGACTGGCAACTTCATTCCAGGTTTTCAGGTACGGGTCTCCACAAGCCCTACCTGGAGAAGCCAAGGATTGGATCTAGGACTTTTACAAAGCCATAGCTCCTCCATGAAAGCATCCATTTAGGGGATCTGTAGTGTTGCAACCTAAGGAATGACC